AAAGACGTAGGGCTTGAGAAAACTCACGTGAAAGGGGCCTTCTCTTTGTCGGCAAGTACATCAGGTGCGGTCATGCAAATCAAAGCCGAGGCTTTTGTTTCTGTGTTTTGTCCCGTGCTGTCTGTTCCGCCGGCAGCTGCCGCTCCGGCTGCAGGCGTCGTTTTAGTGCAGGTGACGACACGGCAATCTGCAGTAGCCTCCGTTGAAGGGTTGTACAGGGCTACGAAAGAGACGTTCTCCTGATTGTCGTAAAGATTCTTTTCTTCCTTGTTAGCCGGAGGCAATCCATCAAAGTTGGTGTAGGCTTCCTTCCACTTATCCACAACGGCCTTGCAGTCGACGGAATCGGCATTGTCAATCGGAAGGTATGCGTATGTGCCGCTCTGGAAATCAGCTGCATCCTCAGAATTGCTAGTACTTCTTGATTTTTCTGTGGTCTGGAAGCAGCAGGAGAATGGACAAACACCGAAGTGATTTGCGCACGCAGTAGATGTAAATGCCCTTTGAAGGGAAGTTAGATGTACACAACTTACTGGAATCAAGGCTTCGCACACAGGCTTCCAGGCCCATTTAGGTTGTTCGCTTTGTGGAAATTTGCCTCCTTGAGGCAGCCTGCTTGCTGCTTGAGTTGCTTTTGTGAGTTCGCTGAACCCAGCTGCCACACGGGCAGCATTAACCTCGGCGAGGCATTTTCCCTCTTCTCCTGCGGCAAAGAGAACAAATCACTGCGAATTTGTAACGAATCCTTTGCAATCAAAAAAGTTTACGCTGTAACTTTTAGATTCGCGGAAAGCCTGCATGTTCTTCCGTCGGATTGTGCCCTGTTCCGCACACTATGCTGGACTTGCCAGGTGACGGGTTCTTGCCCAGCGAGATATGCCAAGCACAGAAGAACACTTGTTACTGGGAAACCTACCCAAGGCTACATTATAAGTTGTCTGGTTGGGTGCGGGATCGCCGTTGGCTCTGGCCAGGAAGAAGAGCGAGGAACTGACGACTGTGAGCAGTTTGAGAGGTGCCATTGTCACCCTATGGTTGTTTACGGTTGTTTATGTAGTCGAACACGAAGCCTAGATGCAACCCAAAAGGTCATCAGGTTATATTAACCCTATTCAAATCGCATTAACTACGACCTTATTGTTTGCTTCAGCGGCTCTGACGCGGTCGGCGCCTGGGGTGCACATGACGCTGTTCCTGTTCCTGGTGGGCAGGCCGCTGCACTGCGACTCA